ACAGCAGGTCAGAAGCTAGGAATAATGCAGCGAGTAACTCACCTCCTAATATCCCAAAGCTTGTCCACCATCTACAACGCACAAGTCAGGAATGGGATGGAATACCTCTGACTTGGAAATAGATCACTTTCCTTCATTGTTGCTGAGTCAAAATCCTGGAACTCCCTTCCTAAGGGCATTGTGGGTCAACCTACAACATATGGTCAAATAAATAATTCTCACTACAGATCAACAATTAGGAATAATCAACATATAACTCTACTGGTTAAAACTCTAACCCCCTTATAAGCTCCTGCTCTGCACACAATACAGAAAACACAGGTAAGAAACGAAACATGGGTGTTGTGTGTGGAGGGAAAGACTGGGAAGGCAGTTCAGTGGCCTCTGTCCACAGGGTTTGCAAAAATGATTTCTGGGCCAAACAAAACACTGCTTCTTTATGTTCCTTCTCCAGGTACTTCCAGGAGGCACACGTGCTTCCCACTTAGAAAGGTCTTTAGCAACTGGAAAAGGAAAGTAATCCTTGGGCTTGAGATGTATTTTTTTACTGCAAAGAGACAGCTCCTTCTCCTCCAGGAGTCTAATGATTTCTACTGAAACACCCCATCTTGTTTGAAAGATGGTTATATTGAAGAACATAAGGTATTAAGTAGCAGGCCAGGTACAAATTTATTGACAGTGGAAGAAGCCACAGGTTCTAAGAGTGAAAGACAAATTGCCCAAAGTAAGGACTAACACCAAGAATCGTTTCTCCACACAGATATTGATTGGAATTAGACTTGAATTGGACACTTTATTTTTATATATTGAAAAACACACTAGCAAATCACCCAATTACCTAATTAACCAAATAACTGCCCATTAGGTACCCACCCCTCTCCAAAAGCATTGAGGGTCCACTTGCTCTCACTCTAATGACACCCAGGCATGAATGGAGTAGCAGAAGAGAAGTAGGCAATCAGGAAGAACAAACTCTTCCAAGGTACATGGATACTGTTTATGGCAACGGGTGGGAAAAGGGATAATAACTTCTGAAATAGTTGAATCCATAGGGGGAAAATAATATTATTTATTGATAACTTGCTTATGTCAACCAAATGATCTTCCTCATTAGTGACCATTTTATGGTGCTCCATTGTGTTTCACAGAAGAGCAACATAGGATCAACATTGTAACTGGGTCGTCCTGCCCTACATCACGTTAAGCTGCCATCACTCTGCAGTGTACTAAGAGCATAGCTGCAATTCTACTCCTCTTACCCTCTAAGGGTGAAACAGAATTCATGCAAATGACCAGAATTACTGTAGACAATGGTTCAAATACTGAGAGAGTTCCATTTCATACTGAGAGCAGGTAAGGGAGATATGAAAGGGAGCCCACGTCTGGCTGAACAGTAATAAATATCATGATTTATCCAGAACATTAGCACTCTACCATAATTATAATATCAATGACACTGTCCTACATACTCCAACAATGATTTGTTTAATACTTAAAGCATTCTTCTCAGAGCTAACAGAACCTCCACAAACAAATACACAAGTCTCATGTACAAAAGCAAACTACTACAGATGTATTTTGAAATAAAATAAAAGAAATGCTGGCATTAATCAGCAGATCCTTTCCAGCTGAAAAGTTAACTCTGTTTCTCTCTGCAAATGCTGCCTGACTTGTTGAGTATTTCCTGTCTTTTTGTTCTATATTTTAAAAGACACAAGTCTCTCCTGATGCACGATTGTCCCAATTCCAGATAACCCCAAATGAAAACAGAACAAATCCATCTTCATAGCCAAAATAAAATCAAAAACTGTCTCAATGGGTAAAATTAAACATGCACCATTAAAGTCATACTTTATTTGGTTCTGATTGCAGTTCTAACTTTGCCTTCTTACTATGGATATGAAGTGCTAGGGCTTTTGCAAGTTGTATCAAAAATATCTAAAAGTCAACATTGGGGTTTGCTGAAGAAATATTCCTTTCCACAGTGATTTCACTGACTGATCAAGGGCAGATTCCAATACTTTGTAAATCACCAATCTCCATCCTGACAAAATCACAGGTAAAGATAAATCATATCATCCTGAAGTCTAATATTATGCTATTATCAGTTACTTTTCTAGTTTCTATGGTTTATTGTTTGCAGATTTCATGAACAGTCCTTCAATACCCCTGATACATCGTCTCATTTTGCAAAGAAATTCAATCCAGAACCTGACTCACAGGCAAGTGAGAGTGCAATTCACATCGTCTTTCTTTTCATACATCTGCCTTAATATTACACATTGTACTAGTTATCAGTAGTTTGGTCCCTTGGAGATAAACAGGTCAACAAAAGATTAAATCCCCAAACAATTCTGTCAGCAATGTTTTATGCCAACATCTGTGTCATGGACTGTGGCTTCAAATCCCACTCCAGGTTTGGGTACACAAAAAATCAAAGCTGACAATTTTTTAAAAAATTCATTCATGAGATATGGGTTTTGCTGGCTGGGCCAGCATTTATTGTCAATCCCTGAATGCCCTGGAGAAGGTGGGGATGAGCAGTTTCTTGTACTATAGGAGTTCTTGGGGTGTACAAACACCCACAGTGCTCGTGGGGAGGGAGTTCCAGGGTTTTGACGCAGTGAAGAAATGGTGATCTACATCCAAGTCAGGATGGCAAATGGCTTGGAAGGGAACTTGTAGGTGGTGGTATTCTAATGCATCTGGTACCCTTATCCTTCTAACTTGTAGCAGAGTTGTAAGATGTTCTCAACAGAGCCTTTCTATGATGCTGGAGCGCACCCTGTAGGTGGTACATAATGCTGTGAATACTTGTATTTTGATGGTGAAGGCAGCAAATGTTAAATGTGGCGGATGGGGTGCTAATCTAGGGGGCTGCTTTATCCTGGATGCTATCAAGCTTCTTGAATGTTGTTGGAGTTGCAGTCATCAAAGAAAGTGAAGAATATTCCATCATACACATAACTTGTGTCTTGTAGTTAGTAAACAGGCTTTGGGGAGCCAAATGAGTTCTTGCCACAGGATTTCTAGCCTCTGACTTGCTTTTGTAACCAAATTATTTAAATGGTTAGCCCAGTCCAGTGTCTGGCCAATGGTAACTCCCAGGATGTTGATAGCGGGAGATTCAGCAGGTTGAACATGAAGGGGTGAGAGTTAGATTCTCCCTTATGGGAGATGATCATTGTCTGGCCCTTGTGGAGTGAGAATGTTATTTGCTACTTATCAGCCCAAACATCTTGCTCCTAACGGATATGGACTGCTTCAGTTTCCGAGGAGCATGTGTTAACACTTCAAGTCCAGCATGACTCTTCAGATTAAAGTGTTCTGAAGAAGTCATACTGGACTCAAACTCTGTTTTCAGTATCCGCAGTATTTGACTTTTCGTTCTCTGTGGTCCTGGCCAACATAAGTCCCTCAATCAATGTCACAAAATATACTATAGACAAACAGGAGGCTAGAAAAACACAGCAAGTCAGGCAGCTTTTGGAGGAAAGAAGCAGTCAACATTTCAGGTATTACCCTTCTTCAGGACTGACTTAATATTTTCACAAAATATATTGATATGTCATTACAACATTGCTGATTGTGGGAGTTTGCAGTATGCAGTTTAGCTGCTGTTTTCTCTACAATAGTGACTTCACTGCAAAAGTGCTTCAGTGGCTCTACAGCATTTTGGAATATACTATGGCTGTGAAAAGTGCTACATAAAAGCAATGTTGTGTTGATATTGGGATTCCAATTCATTGCCAGCTGTAAACCATTTCCTATATTAGAATACTCCATTTCAAAAGTAGTTAATTGGCTGGAAAGTGTTTTGGAACATGCTGAGGACATGACAGGCATTATATAAATGAAAGGCAATCTTTCTGCTAAAATTTCTTATTGTCGTCTATCTTTGCTTTCTCTCTCAATATACCATTTTTTAAAAACCCAAGCTGGTATAGCAATTATTTCCTCCCCCTCTCTTTGACAAACTGCATTCTGTACTGTAATGTTTTTGACTTTTCACTTGGAAGTCATGCAAAAGAAAGATGCTAACCTGTAACTTGTGTTGGTTCTGGGTATCTCAGAAAACCCCTATGCAGCAGGGTTTATGGAGCTGCGAATATAACACCAACAAATTTCCTTCCATCCTCCAATGTGTACCTTCTGATTCTGGCCCAGCTGACATGCGTTTTGATTCCTGGCCGATTGAGAGTGATTTACCTTCATTAGCAATTTACTGTCATTAGGAATACCAACAACTTTCAACAGCTGATCAGAAATTGTCCCATCCTCCCACTGTGCCTCCACCTAACGCCTCCTGATTTGTGCCAATCTACATCTTCAGCCACAATGGCACAGCAGTGATTGTACTAGATAAGCACGGAGAGCTAAACATTGGTATTCATATAAATGCAGATCTGTGCCAACGTTTTTATTATAGTCTACAGGAACTTACTGGAACTGACAACTCCATAAATTTGCTTCCTTTGCTGTAGTGAATTTTTAGATCAGATTTCCTTTAATCAAACAGGTGATTAATTCCTCACTTCAAAGCAATGCTAATGTAATCTTTCCACAACACAATAGGGTTACTTGTAACCCAAAAGGATTTCTCTGCAAACTTCAATTTTTCTTCCTTTCTTCTGTGCACTGCAGGCACAATAGGTAATAACTCACTGTCCAACACAACAAACACTCCTTAAAACACTCTCTCCCTTTGGATCTTTCCCTGTTCATTTAGTGCTGATATTAAAACATCGCATTTTGTATAGTTTCATTGTCCCTCAATACCCCCAATCATACATGGGCCAGATAACCATTCTTCATGTGGTCATGGGCTATTTTGCATTGTAGCCAGTCCAACCTTGGTCTTACTTATCACTCACAGGTAGGTGTTCAAAGTGCAGGGAGGGATCCCAGGCTGCTCTACTCTCACTCCTAAAGGCTAAGGTTAACTGCAGCCCCTGCTGTTGCTCTGCCAATTTACTCTTACAAAAACCCACGACTCAAGATTCTCCAGCCTGTAGGGCTAGTACAACACATTTATTCATAGAATATTTATGTACAGAACCTTTGGAGGAAGCTATAGAAATCAAAGAGCAGTCACAACACAGGAGTACATTGAGCCCATTGTGTCTGGACGGGGCTATCCATATTATGCACATTTACTACATTCCAGTGATGACATTTCAAAAGTACTTCATTGGATGTAAAGTGCTTTACAAGATACATTAAGTTCAAATCTTTGTATTGTTCTTTTGATACAAATTGATCCTACTTCCTACAGAAGCCCTACTTTAAAATCTCTAGATCTCCAGTTCTGACAGGTCATCGACCAGAAATGTTAACTTGATCTCCCTCAAAACAGATGCTGCTAGACTTACCTCGCACTTCCTAGACTTTGCGTTTATTAGATTTCCAACATCTGAAGCATTTCAGTTGAAAGATGTTTAGAACCCGTGTACTGTTCACAGGATAATTCTCTAGGGCTTCGCTTGCATTAATAAATCACCTCTAGAATAATCAATCAATCTAAACCACTAGATTACACTGCTATATTTTCTCCTGGGTTGGTGGGGGAGGGGTTTTGTTATTGATTGGGGCAGGGCAGAGGGTGCATGGGAGGACAGACTTTACCAGGTGTCCTGGCACCACTATATCAGGCAAGGCTAGAAACAACAGTAAGGGAGTGGCTGTTTAATTGATATTTGCTTCAGTTAACCACACTCACCAAATAAAACTGGACAAACATTCACTTAGGATGGTGCAATTGACATGGGTACCTCTTCTCCACCATGCCACCCTTTGTCACTAGCCCCTCCTCCACAGTTGCCCACAACTTATCATTTTAGACATGAAGTTAAAACACTACAGATGCTGGAAATCAGAAACAAAAACGTGGAAGTACTCAGCAGGTCAGGCAGTAGAGAGAAACAGAGCTAACTTCGAGTTGATGACCTCTCACAAGAAAGGATCAAGTCATCCTGACCAACACATTAACTCAGTTTCTGCCCACAGATACTGTCTGAACTGCTGAGTATTTCTTGTTTTTTTTTGTTTTTATATCATTTTCAGTACAACATTTCTGCAAAGGAAACCAACGTCTTTAAAATTAGTTCTGGATTTATTCAGAAAACATTACAGTTTTTAAGTGATTGTTGAATTAATTAAGCAAAAAGGGTAAGTGGAACAAGCACCCAAAACCACCTCTTCCAAAGGACGTGTATTACACTCCACGCTCAGAACAAACCCTGACTCAGGGAGGACTCCTACAACTCGGCTGCTGGATGAAAGCCTCTTACTGATCACTGCCATCACATAAAATGTATGACAGGAAGACTTCAAAACGTCAGAATGGAGTGGTCCTCAACACAGCTACCAACTGCTTTTAAAAAAGGCTTCTGAAATGTTTACACTCCAACTGCAAGTTTTGCACTAACCATCCAGCAGCTCTGTTTCAACAGAAAGAGAGATCAGATTTGGAGACAATTCGCAGCCTGGCTACTGTCCCATCTGTAGCCCCATACCCCACCACTGAAGAGTTAGTGCATGAGAGAACTGCAAGCATGAGGAGGACTGCACTGGCAGTGATGGCTCCACAGTCCTGCATTGTACTCAAGTTTGGACTTTCTGACTGTGGTGAAAGTGTTCGCACCGAGCCACAGCTGATGCTGCAAATTCCATTTTCTTCTTGAGCTGCTGCTTCTCCTTTGAGGGTGCTGCGGAGTGGGGGGGTGAGCATGAATTTATTCTGACGTTTGGTTGCAAGTTATTACACATCCCTTTTGAACTTCAGTCACAAAACCCAGCACCTCACTGGAAACTCTATGGTTCATGGGACAACCATTAACTCTGTCATATGTCAATCACAAAGCCACTTTTTGGCGGTGGAAGCAGCATTTCATAGCTCAAACTAGTCGGAAAAGCAGGAGCAAAGGTCAGATACTGTGGGCGGGCAACAGGTGCCAAGCATTAATGGCTATCAGTCAAATAGTCCAGCCTCAATTTCAGATGCCAGGCTTTGCAGCTTCAACGAATGTGATTTACATAATGGAGGATGGGACATCATAACCCATCCCTAGAAACAGGGGCCATATTCACTACAGGACGGATGAACCTGTCCCACCATAAGGCAAGCTGCTGGACACAAACACAGGCTGGGCAGCAACAACTGGGTCACACTAGGTACTGCCCATTCTAAAAGTGGCTGGAATTTCATATTTTGGCATTATGCTGGGAAACTTTTAACGGTCAGCTTAATAACAGGGGATTAAAAAAGAGGAATATGCTGATTGGGGTTAGACAACTTTTACAGGAGGCTGTGTGGAGTATAAACACCGGTAGAGACCTATGGGGCTGAATTTCTGTGTAATTCTATATGTGGCCTAATACAGCACAGGCCCAGGACAATTTGCTGGCTGCAGCTAAGGAAAAGGAAGCTGGGCTAAAGGTTGAGGGATGAGGAAAGGAGGGATGGATGAGCAGAAACAATTGGAATACTTCAAAAGCAGCAAGAATCACAGTGTTAAATTTGAAGTCTCAATCCCAAAATGATTGCTGTTGGTGGGATTCAGTGACCTCTAACAGGAATGAAGAATAATCCCATTATCATTTGATCAAACCGAAACGCCCAGCTTAAACCCTACCGTACCTAACCTGGTCTGTGTTTGAAGACAGCATTCAGAAATATCTAACACAAAGTTGAGACTAGGAGATACATAATATTAAAGGTCAAAAGTTAAACAAAGCATTGTGGATGCTGGGGATCCAAAACAAAAGTAGAAAGAGCTAGAGAAACTCAGCAAGTCTAGCAGCATCTATTGAAGAGTCACTGGACTCAAAACGCTAACTCTGCTTTCTTTACCACAGATGCTGCCAGACCTGCTGAGTTTCTCTAGCAATTTGTTTTTGTTAATATTGAAGGTCACTATTTTAAGTGTGCTCTTTACAGCTGCCTTAGTTGGACAGCAATTAAGCCCCTTGACACTGTTTGCTGTCATGTGGACACAGCTGGAATCAGGCAGAGTTTCTCCTCAGCTTGTTACAGATGACACTCAGGGAAGCTTTGGCAGCTGTTAATGTCCATCTCCAGCAATTGCTCTGCTAACTCTGGGGATTAGGTGCTTGCTGTTCATCCTCTGTAGCTTCCAAAGGCTCTTCCATGGACATAGTTTGGGCCATTAGTGCCTGCTTCTTGTGAAATCGCTCTGCCCCAGTCACAGTCATAGGGTGCAGAGGGAAAAACCCAGACAGACCTAGCAATTGGGAAAAAAAAGACAAAACATTTATCACACAGCACTCAAGTGAAATTCAATTGCCAGTCCTGCATTAACATTTCTCCATTCTCTCCTTAAACTAATAGCTGCAGGATTTCCAGGCGGTATCACAGATTGTTCTGCTGTTGGACTTTGGGTGGAGATCCTTTAAACCTTCAGAAATTAGGGAAGGGATCCTTCCTCCACATCTCACTAGCCAGGCCTTGGTTGCAAATCACCCCAACAAGCAGCATCCAGCCAGAGAACATCAGAAATAGAAGCTACAGGCAGCCACATGGTCTATCAAGCCTGCTCTGTCACTTGATAGGATCACAGATTAAACCATAAACCTCCGAAGCACAGAATTCAAAGATTCACAACTATTTGAGTGAAATAATTTTCTAAATATGCAGGCCCTTATCCTGATACTGTGCTTCTGTATACGAGATCCCCAGACCAGTGGAAACAATCTCAGCATCTACTGTAGCAAGCCTCAGTTTTCAGTGAGGTCATCGCTCATTCTTGTCAACTCCAAACAGTAGAGGCTAATCTCCTTGTGAGCAATTTTGGTCCCCATATCTCAGGAAGAATGTACTGGCCCTGGAGTGGGTCCAGAGGAGGTTCACGAGAATGATCCCAGGAATAAAAGGCTTAACATGAGGAATGTTTGGGGACTCTGGGTCTATTTATTTATTTCTTTTCTTTTTTCACAGGACAGTGGCTGTGGCCAGCCAGCTCAAAGTCAGTCCTCAACTGAGGAGATTCTAATCTGGGACCCTGCGTCCACGTTCAATGGAGTTTAGAAGGATGACGGGGGTCGGGGGTGGGGGTCTAATTAAAACATACAGAATACTGAAAGGCCTGGATAGAGCAGATGTTGGGAAGATGTTTCCATTAGCAGGACAGGCTTGGACCTGAGGCCACAGCCTGACAGTAAAGGGAAGTCCCTCTAGAACGGAGATAAGGAGAAACCTCTTCAGTCAGAGAATGGTAAGTCTATGGAATTCATTGCCACAGAAGGCTGTGGAGGCCAGGTCATCGATATTTAAGACAGAAATAGATAGGTTCTTGATTGTTAAGGGAATCAAAAGGTTATAAGGAGTTTGGTGGGGGGTGCGGGGAAGGATGGGGTTGAGAAACTTATCAGTCATGATCGAATGGCGGAGCAGATTTAGTGGCTCCTACATCTTATGGTCTTCCTTAGTGATAGAAAAACCTCCTTGAGCCAGGTACCAGCCTAGTGAATGTTTGCATGCAAGATCAAGTATATCCTTCCTTATGTACAGACACCAAAACTGCACTCAGAATCCCACCTACCATTCACCCTCCTCGGTCCTGACGAAGGGTCCGGACCTGAAATGTCAACTTTCCTGTTCCTCCGACGCGGTCTGATCTGCTGTGCTTCTCCAGCTCCACATTTTATTGACTCAGAATTCCAGATGTGCTCTCATGAGAGGCTTGCACAAATGTAGCAAGATGTGTTTATCCCTGTACATTAATCTCCTTGCAATAAGCAGCAACATGCAATCTGCCTTTCTAATTAAGAACTTCCCGCACACTAACTTCCCGCACACTAACTTCCCGCACACTAACTTCCCGCACACTAACTATCACTCAAAATCAACAAGTCTCACACTTTTCAATTCTTACAACCAAAAAAAGTGAACAACCTTGTACTGATCGACATTATCCTCCACCTGCCACCGTGTTGCCCATTTGCTTCACTTGTTTGTATCTTTTGCAACTTTCTGGCATCCTTCTCACAGCTAACATTTTCAAAAGGCACAGCTGCTCATGTTCTTTATTCAGGAGGGAGAGGGGATCTCAAGGGATACACAAATGTAAGTAACATGGACAGTTACTACCCCCTGGTGGTGTGGCAGGGGATGGCACCACACTGTTGTTACAAAATATGTCCTACACCATTGGCTCAATTGAGACATGCATGTTGGGAGATACCAGTTACCAATACCTGACCACCAGAGAGAGGAGTCAGGGTGTAAACACTGTTGCCAGAATTCTCTACCAGCGTAACATGTTGAAACCCAAGTTCCTTTGGAAATAAAAGTAGGTGGTGTGGGAAGAAGGTGGAGAGCATTCAATACAATAATTAGAAAGTTAAAAACCCAGGAACCTCTTTTACCTAATAGTTTTTCAACAGGCTTTGTCATGTGTGCCCCACAGGCCAGCCAATACTTGATCCTCTCGAAGTTAAAACTGACTAACTTCTCGTTGAAGATGTTGGGCATTGGGTCATATGAGCCGAGCTGCTCCAGGTATTTGCCATCCCTGGCCCTCTTGTTGTGTGCTGCAACAATTCGGTAGAAGGGTCGATTTGTACAGCCACCCAAAGCCAGGCGGATACACACAAATCCCCGGTGATAATATTTGAGCAGATTAGAGGCTGAAAGAGATACAACACAAATACTTAAGGTACATTGAAGCTAGATCAGATCAGTCACACAGATTTTACTGCATTCCACACAGCACCTCATGAGTATGGAGGGTGAGGGCACAACGGGTGGCTGAATAGAAGCCAAAAAGCAAAAGTTTCAAGATACCTTTAAACAAAGTTGGAAAAGTGAGCCATTGTGAGAGGACGTGTCAAGAAATTGATTCAGTCAGGAGCACTTTATCATCTGGGTGCAATGCAAAACCCGAACAGGCAGGCGCTGGTGGGGTGGGGTGAAAGAGATACCCTCCTTCAGGGACCACAGTAAATAGGGGTCATTGGTTCAGGTGAGCGAAAAGGATCTCAGGGTAATACTGGATGTCAAAATGGACAGCAAGAGTTTCTTTAAATATGTAAAAAAGAAAGGAAAACCCCTAAAAGAACAAGGATGGGGAAATAACAATAGGGAACCAGGAAATGGAAGAGGAATTGAACACTTTCCATCATTCTTCACAGTAGAAGATAGTAATAACATTTCAAAATTGAAAAATGATTAAGGGCAAAAAAGGAGGGGAGGGAGTAAATATAATGATTATTACTAGGGGAAAAAGTGTGAGAAACTAATCGGGCTAAAGACCTGTTGGAATGCACCCTAGGATGTTAAAGGAAGTAGCTACAAAGATAGTGGATGCTCTGGTAGAAAGCTTCCAAGAATCTTTAGATTCTGGAAAAGTATCAGAGGATAAAGAAAACTGCCAATGTAACACCATTACTTAAAAAGGAGGGAGCAAAAACATAACAATAGGCCAGTTAGCCTAACACCCATTAATGGTAAAACCTTTGAGTCTATTATAAAAAGACAGAATAACAGAGCATTTTGAAATGTATATGATCGAGCAGAGTTAGCATTGCTCCATAAAGGGGAAATCATGCCTGAAACATTTACTCTGAGGAATTCTTTGATGAGGCTAGAAGGATGAGAAGTGACTTTATTGAAACATACAAGATGCTTACAGGGCTTGACAGAGTGGATACGGAAAGGCTCTTTCTCCTTGTGGGACAGTCTAGGGCCGGAGGGCATCATCTCAGAATAAGGGGTCACTCATTTAAGACAGATGAGGAGGAATTTCTTTTCTCAGAGGGTTGTGAATCTCTGGAATGCTTTATTGCAGAAGGCTGTTAAGGCTGGGTGGTTAAATATATTCGAGGCTGAAGCAAATTCTTAATCAATATGAGAATCAAAAGTCATAGGAAAAAGGCAGAAAACTGGAGTGAGGATTATCAGATCAGCCATGACCTCATCAAGTGGCAAAGGAGACTGGATGGACTGAATAGCCTATTCCTGCTCCTACATCTTAGGGTCTCACAGAAGTGCAAGCTGCTCACCTAGAGTCCAGAGACAAACATCCCTCCCCTAATGACTGACCAACATAGAGTATAGCTTCAATGGTCAATTCAACTCAACTGCTTTAGTTTCAAAGCTGCTCTGTACAACACAACTGCCATGTTTGCCTCGTTGACCAATGACATTTCAAAGTGTTTGAGAAATGATTGACAACTATGACAAGCTACAATATAATGCAGTTTTCTTTTTCAGATACATAGTGGTGAACTTCTAACAGTAGAGTGCTGTGGGGTTGGGGAATAGAAGGGCCTTGCTGTTGTCATTAAATTGGTGATGATTGTAGTGCTGAGCAGAAAGGTGGAATGTAGAATTGTGCAAAAGAGTACACAGACCAGAACTTTGAAGAGAAGATGTGAAGAGGGACACTGAAACTGGGATAAGTCATTTGGGAGGAAATGAATTCTTCAGAGTAGCAGCAGCGGGTCACAAGCAGGCAATAAATGGAAGTGTGCACTCTTCGTAAGTGACCAGAGGCAGGCAAGAAATTCAACTCAAGCTGAGCCAAGTCCAGAACTTGTACTTCAAGCACAGTGGACAGCAAGAATAGCAGGGTCCTAAGGGGATTTGTCAGGGTCAGACTGGAAGAAATTTGGCCTCAACCAGGATTGGACTTCAGGCAGAGAGTCAGATAAAGTGGGAAAGCCACAATATAGCTGGAGGAACTAACAACCAAACATTTGCTGCAGTGCTAAGAATTAGTTTCATGATGAATGGTCAACTACACAGGGACAGGTAGAAACACTTGGGGAGAGTTAAGGTCCAATGGAGGTAGTGGGAAAACGAGTGGGACAGCGAGGTTCAAGCACCATAGACCCCTGAATTCCCTACCCAGAGATATCCTGCAAGAAGGCATTGATACTGCAGACTAATCAATTAGTCTGACACTGCAAAAAAAAAAGACACGAATGAACAAATATTATTAAACTCAAAGCCAGCAGCAGAATCCAACTCATTGCAATGGGGCACTAAACTTGTAAAGTTTGTTTACTCAGTTTGTTGCAACATACTTACAGAGATGAACCATGATTTTTCTCTTCTAAATTTACACCTGAGGAGAAAGAGGAATAAAATAAACATATCTAGAGACTCCTTGGTTTGTAGTTTATTAACTTTCTGTCTGAACGTGCAGATTGCATTAATGAAATATTCCATAGGTGCCAAGCGACCCTCCTGATAATTAAGCGGCCGGTCCCTAGTGTGGGACAAAACGGTATCAAGACTCAGCCTCAGGTCCTGTCTCCACACACGCAGCACCTTGTTCCAGGGGATTGAGTGGGCACAGGCCAGCAGCTAAAACCCAGGCTGATGTCTCCTTCCCCCGCCCCTCACATAAGGTCACTAAGGCCAAAGACGATCTTAATTCACAAATTCCTGACAAAAAATCGGTCTAATAAATCCAGATTCCCATCAGATAACCCCGCGGGTCAGTACGTTTGCCTCAATCACCTTCAAAGCTTCGACTCTTGGCCACCTTTCACTCTTTCACTCTCCCACTCTCCCTCGCCGTTGCTCTTCAGCACCGAACACTGCGCACCGCCATCTCACTACACTCTGACCCGGAAGTGGAACCCTAGCCCAACTCTGATAGGTTGATAGGTTTGTTTTGCATAAACGTTTATGCAAATACAGGTGACTCGGCTGGACGTGGCGTGTTCTCACACGTGACAGGTAGACTACCTGTCACGTGCACACATCGTGCGCCCCCCCCCCCCCAACCCCTCTCTGACCCTGGACTCCCATGGCACAACATGGTGGTAGCTGTGCATCATCAGACTGACAAGCAGCAGGAAGCAAGCTGCACTGTCTGAACATTCCCCACCACTCCCACCCCATTCTCCCAATGTGAGCTAACAGATTGGCTCTTTGTTCCAACTGGGCAAAGCTCACCTGTTCTTTGTGGAGAGATTTGCAAAGAAAAATGAGTCTATCGGGAACTGGTCAGTGCATAGTGTTCTCAAGACCCTGTGGGAAAAGGAGAGGGCGGGATCCTGTTGTGTGGTTCCCTGACAAAGTCATGCCTCATCACCAGATCTTTCTAGCAAGCACCAAGACGTTGCTTGGCTGGTGGTGAGAAGGGCACCACTTGTGAGATCCTTCTTGTACATTCAGTTGGTCTGCGCCACCGCCCACTGCCCTTGAAGTGGCTGCGAGAGGGGTGGGGGTTGAGACTGTCACACATCTCCTTCTGGATCGTGTGCCTTTCCAAAGGAAGTCAGGAGAAAGAAGCAGTAGATTTTGTCAAAGGTCGTCCCGAGCAGCTCCGTGATGCAGGACTCTATTCTGTATGGTCTATTCCCCAGGAAGCACGCCGAGACAAACATCAACTGTGCCTGTAGGACTGTCAGTTTGGAGAAAGACGCTCTTTGGTCTGCTGAAAACAAGGAATTGATCTCAACTGAGTGTTGCAGACTGGCACATTCCAAAGTCCAGCACTACGCGCTGAGGGACATGCTAAAGCTTGGGGCAGCTGCTGCCAAAGCGCAGTGGGGAAAGACCACTGTCTGAAGTCTACCTGCTGAAGTTAAATCAGGAACAAAAACAAAGTTGCTCGAGAAGCTCAGCAGGTCTGGCAGCATCTGTGAAGGAGAAAACAGAGTTAATGTTTCGGGCCCGGTGACCCGAGTTAAATCAGGGTCTGTTCAGTTATTGTGACTATATATATATATATATATATATATATATATAAAGATTTTTTTATGAATAAATTATATTTTGAAAGTTTTAAAAATGCAGCAGCTGGTAACCAGTGAAACCAGCACAGAGGCAACTAGAGAAGAGCAATAAATGTTGGCCAGCCAGCAATGCTCATGTCCCATGACTGAACAAAAAAAGCATCCAGAAAGATAACATGACAAACCATTCCCTATCATCATTCTGGCTGAACAGGTTGATCAGTAGCAAAAACAGAAGTTTTCATAATGTTGGAGATCATGACCCAGATATTCCGATTGTCAGATAATCATTGCAGGAAGATGTTTATGGTTGTTGGAGGTCAGTCATCTCAGCTCCAGAACATCTCTGCAGGAATTCCTCAGGTTAGTGTCCTTGGCCCAACCAGCTTCAGCTGCTTAATCAGTAAACTTGCCTCCATCATAAGGTCAAAACTGGGGATGTTTGGTGATGATTGCACAATTTTCAGCATTGTTCATGATTCCTCATATGCTGAAGAAGTCTATGTTCACATGCAACATGATCTGAACAATGTCCAGGCTTGGTCCAGTTATTGTGACTATATATATATATATATATATATGTATATAAAGAATTTTTAATGAATAAACTATATTTTGAAACTTTTTAAAAATGCAGCAGCTGGTAACCAGTGAAACCAGCACAGAGGCAACTAGAGAAGAGCAATAAATGTTGGCCAGCCAGCAACAAAAAAAGCATCCAGAAAGATAACATGACAAACCATTCCCTATCATCATTCTGGCTGAACATATATATAGAGTCACAATAACTGAACAGACCCTGATTTAACTCGGGTCACTGGACCCAAAATATTAACTCTGTTTTCTCCTTCACAGATGTCCAGGCTTGGGCTGACAAGTGGCAAGTAACATTCGTGCCACACAAATGCCAGACAATGACCATTTCCAATAAAAGACAATCTAACCACTGCCCCTTGACATTCAATGGTGTTACTATCACTGAATCCCCCACTATTAACATCCTGGTTGTTACCATTGACCAGAAACCCAAACCATATCAGTTCATAAACTCAGTGGCTACAAGAGCAGGTCAGAGACTATGAATACTACAACAAGTAATTTACCTCCTGACTCCCCAAAGCCTGTCCACCATCTACAAGGCACAAATCAGGAATGTGATGGAATACTCCCCACTTGCCTGGATTGCAGCTCCAACAACACTCAAGAAGCTTGACCGCACCCAGGACAAAGCAGCTTGTTAGATTGGTAACACATCCACTCCCATCACCACCAATTCTCGGTAGCAGCAGTGTGTGCTATCTACAAGATGCAATACAGAAATTCATTAATGATCCTTAGACAGCAACTTCCAAACCCTCGACCACTTCCATCTAGAAGGACAAGGGTAGCAGATACATGGGAACACCACCACCTGCAAATTGCACTCCAAGCCATTCACCATCTGACTTGGAAATATATCGCTATTCCTTCACTACGGCTGGATCAAAATCCTGGAATTCCCTCCCTAAAGCATTGTGGGTCAACCTACAGCATTGGACTGCAGTGGTTCCAAAAGCAGCTCACCACCACCTTTTCAAGGGCAACCAGGTTTGGGCAATAAATGTTGGCTAGCCAGCGATGCCCACAAGCCATGAGTGAATAAAAACAAAAGCTGCATGACTGAAGTCATGCATCCTGGAGAAATCCTGACACAGCTGGCACTGAGGGATGTGCCCAGGAAATTGAACATTCTGATGGGCAATTCATTTGTTTCTGGAATCCTCTGGAAAAGTTCCTTAATGTCAGAGATTTCAGAAGGTTCCAACTCAATAACGTTGGTTGTTATCCAGGTAAAGTCGGAGAATGGAAATACCTACTCTAACTTGTGGAGAACAATTAAACAGAATCCACGACTCACCACTGCCCCTTACAACTACAGCTCCCTTCCCTGACTGGATTCCCTAACCTCCCAGTGCTTACCCCATCCAACCTTGGCAACAGCACACACAACCATTCCACCACCATCCGCCTCCACCACCGCCCACCAGCCCCCAGAATACACCCCCAAGATGCAGTTGTTTTGCAGATGATATTTCTGTGGTAGAACACACTGAAAAGAAACACAGTAGTAACTTCCAAAAGCCGATAGAGACTGCCAGGTGTGACGTTTGGGTGTTCAGTAGAAAGAAAAATGTTCCCTCAAACCAGACCACACCAATGTCTTTGGGTCTGTCTATTTCAACACAGGTATTTGCCCAGATCCAAGTAAATTTGTAGACATTTGCTCTATGCCTACAGCACAGGACAAGGCTGACCTGCAGATATGCTTCTGGTTGTTCAACCTCCTGGCAGTATAAATCCTAAATTTCAGAAAAGTCATCCAGATGTAGATTGTGTATCCTACAGGATGGCAAACCAGCAGCAGAGCCTGTCGCCTGCCCAAACTAAAAGCTCAGACACTGTTTGCAAGAGTCTAGTTTCTGGATTCACCAGATTTCACACATGATTTCAGTAAGGAGTCATGATTGAAAGGGACCCAAAACTTTGAGAAATTCTTTGGAGGAAGCCACTTACAAGCATACCACCTCGATTCCAGACATTTCTAAGAAAGATTCAAGATTAGAATTATGACGTCAGATACAAACCTCGTAACCAGCCAGTTGTATCAGATGCTCTGAGCAGGCTACCTAGCCCCAAGAGACCTAGCCCCTAAAGAAGAGTGATATTGGACCCAAAATGAAACTCTGTTTCTCTCTCCACCAATGCTATCAGACCTGCTGAGTTTCTCCAACACTTTCTGTGTTTATTTCCAAAAGACACAGAATGCACCACTTGACTTCCAGGTTGGTGAGATATGCACAGATTTAGATATTTTACAGCATCACTCTGATGTGTTTTGGCCACAGTAAATAAGAGGACCTCCAGAGAGACTCCCTGAGACCCTGTACAAAGACTACTGTGGCAGATCAACATTGCTGGTTATCCAGATACAGTAAGGAGGTACACAAAGACCTGAGGCATACTGCTTATAGAGTCGAGATGAGTGTATTAAACAGAATACTCTTTAAGGGCCACCAGTCCTGATTTCAGTGACATTTCGTTCAAGCATGCTTGGTCAGCTTCACCAGGGCCATGTGGGGACTGAGAAAGCATGTCATTTTGCTCATGAATCAATTTTGTGGCCTGACATTTACAAAGCTATGGAACAAGTTGTACAAGCTTCTGGTGTTTGCAAGAACACCAAACCAGATGACAGAAGGAGTCACTTCAGCTGCATAATAACCTTTCCACTCCAAGGGTCAATCTGGTGATAGCCTGTTTGGTGTCAACTACCCACCTATATAACGAATTACCATTCCAAGTACCCCAGTTGTCATGTTCAGCCCTTTTAAGTGCCCAGATGGAGGTCATGTCTGACTTCAAACTACAGTACAGTGGAAAACCTTCGAAAAATGTGAAAAATGGTCTGTCAATTACATCACACCCTCTCTCCAACAGATTGGTAGAGCATGATGTGAGAATAGTTTGGTCTCTGATCAGGAAAGACACAGAAACTTGACAAGACATCCAAATGGCTATATTACATGTTTGTCCAACTCCGTTGCATTACAAATTGCTGTCTCCAGCTGTCATCCTTTTTTATTGACTGGTGAGGACCACTTACTCGAGAAACTCCTTACAATATTATTTTCAGTCATATATCAACTGGAACAAAGAAAAGAAGAAGATGAAGGACAGCCATGATAAACATGTCAGTGCACAATTTCCTCCACACCACGTTAGTCAAAGACAAGAATCTTACACCAACAGGATCCTCGGGGAAGTGTTGAAAATTCACAGGGAACCACAATCCTGAGAGTGATGACATCAAATGGAATTACGTTAAGAAGAAATAAGTTCCACCTCAGAGCACTCTGTCAGCCATGTACCGTGCAAC